GCGTCGGCCATCGGGGATAGGGGACAGGAAGACAGAACTCAGAGGGGGATCGGGATGGTGGCGACGAGTCGCCGACGACCAATTATACACGCACACACACATACACACACACACACACGCAAACCCCCACTGGTCACACGTACACATACAAAAACACACTCTCACACACACAGACATAAGCACACACAACGCGGCGTCTGAAATCAGTTCTTTTCCAATTTTTTTTTTCTTTTTCTTTTTTTTACTCCATCGGCAAATGAATTCATTTTTTTTTTTTTTTTACGTTCATAGACATACATACTCACTCACACACACACATACACACACATCGACGCGTACTTGGACAGCATCTGAAATCAACTCTTTTTATTTTATTTTATTTTTTTTTATTTTTTCTTACTCGGTCGGTAAATGAATGCAATTTATTTTTATAATAATGATCTGTATCCTTTTTTTTTTTTAAATGACATCTGAAATCGACTTTTTTCCTTCTTTTTTTTTTTTTTTTTTTTTTTCACAGTCGGTAAATGAATCTGATTTGTTTATGATAATGATCTCTCTTTTTTTTTTTTCTTTTTTTTTTCTTTTTTTTACAAGTTGGGTGCTCATAACTGTCTATTCATGCTGTATATCTCTTTTTTCGTTACATGCATTTTAATTTATTTTATTTCTTGCAGAGAATTACAATTAGTTTCTACTCTATATTTACCATTTTTACCCAAATAAAAAAAAAGTTTTTTTTTTTTTTTTTTTTTGCAATTTGCATGCTCAAGACTGTCTACTCATGCTGTATCTCTTTTTTCATTGAATTGCATTTTAATCTAGGCTACCAGCTGGGCCGCCCGGGTCCCGGGTGGCCAGCCCGTGCAAAGATCAGGTAAGGTCCCAGCAAAAACAAAAAAAAAAAAAAAATCCAAAAATTCTGAAAACAAAGTATGTTATGCAGAAAAATAAACTGAACAACTTTTGGCTCAGGGTCACATCGAAATTCTTCACCAAATGTAAACTAAAAAATAAAATGCAAAAATATTTTATTTATTTATTTATTTTTAATTATTTTGGCCCGGTCGGGCAAGTGACCCCGAGCCACTCTGGTAGCCTAGATTTTAATTTATTTTATTTCTTGAAGAGAATTGCAATTACTTTGTACTATGTATTTGCCCCTTTTACCCGAAGAAAGAAAAGTACACAAAGAATGTGCTTGAACTAACGATTCATTTTCATTTTTGTCTTCATGTTTTGTATGTTTCATGCTTCCTCCTTCCTGTTCGTCTCTGCTCTTCTCGCCGCGGGCGAAGCCGAGGCGGGTCCACTTGTACATCTCATAGGACTACGAACATGATTTTTTTAGATAACAAAGAAATGAGATATTTCAGTTCTTGAACATAGGCTGCTTCACCTGCTTTGTACTCGGCAGATCTACTCTCAGTGCTCTGTCAATGATTTATTTTAGCTTAGATGTGGTGACTGGATCTTTCGCCAGGTGCCGGCGCCGATCTCTTCGTGCTACCATCATTCTTCTCATGCTGCGTTGATTTCTCATCCGCTGGCTTCATGGTGAGTTGCTCCAATGTCTTCAACACTTTGTCCATTTCTCATCTTCGCTTGAAGATTTCTTCCTTCAAATCGGCCGTAACCACGCTTGATTTCCCAATGGAGGGAAATCATTACGTCGGTGCTCCCATTGTGGACGAGCCAAGCGCTTTGGGGACTCTGATTCTGCCCTCTTCCTCCTGGATGATGAAGATCTTGATCTATGTCGTCGATCTCTCAGAGCCCTAGATCTCCCCCATCTTGAGCATTTTCTTTCGTGCAATGCGATCCAGAGGACGATGACGAGTGTCTGCGCGACCTCCTGTCCGACGATGAATGCGATCGCACCGTCTTCCTTTACGTATCCAGACCTTCGGGTAAACTCCTCGCTGTCGATCAATAATGAGTAAGGAAAATCGACCGCTGCAGATCCAAACAATCTCCAAATCGCTAAGGTATGCACGAGAATCTCCAAATTCGCTATATAATCTCCACGCTAGAAAAATCTCCACTTCATGCTGAAAACTGCCAAATGAGTAATCCGATGCAAATACACTGATGTACAATTTTTGTCACGTGTACTGGAAGATGAGAGATGAGAATAGAAAGATAGATAATAGAAAGATAGAAAGATAGAAAGATAAGATATGATAAATCCCTTAGATCCAGTGCCGATCATCACGGGTACCGCCCGCAAGTT